AACCCTAAACCCTAAACCAGGTCGCTGCTCCTCATGGCTCCAGCACAAGATCTCATTCCTGGAGCTCCTGGAAGGCAGACAGCTCGAACGAGTACAACTACTGTTGGGCAGGTAGAACCCTGGTTCTGTTTAGGGTTTAGGGTTTANNTTTAGGGTTTAGAGTTTAGGGGTTAACTTTGAAACTTAGTTTCAAGGGCTGTTCTGTTGTATATTCTGAAGGGTGTCAAGTAAAGCCGGGGATGCGCTTTCTCAGGTACTGTCTACTGATGCTGCAGTGGGAGCTTAGCTTAGTTTTCATGGATGGGCTATATGTCCTTCATCTTCTTTCATTTCGTATTGTGCATGGCGAATTACATGTCATGTACTTTGTGTTGTAGAAGTACTGCATGCTATGAATACGCGACTCTGTATGCCTCTGGAAGCACATAAGCTCCAAACAAGCGTGTATGTAGGTTGTAGTTTTATGATGTCATAGTTTGCACCTATAGGCAGGCTGCGGAGAACCACAGGTGTCGTTATTCAGAAGGCGCAACCCGATGTTAATAAAGACACTCCCACCGCCCCCGGACTCCGAACTTCGTTGTGGTAGCGAGTCAATATAGGGGGTCTTCATAGCAAGCACAAAATAAGATACTGGGGTATACTAGTGTACTATAGCGTCTGCTTATATGGCAGCACCGAGGGCTACCATGTCAATCACTCAGGCCCCTAAATTACTTTTAGGGTTTAGGGGTTTAGGNNTTACCCGAAGGCTCCATGTACCCATATAGTAGATACTTAGGCCTTAAAGTACCTATATAGGGACCCCTTTGAGGCCTAAGTATCTACTATAAAAGTACATGGAGCCTTTGGGTTAACAAGAGCCTAGGGGACGAGGGCGCGGGACAAGATGCAAATTATGGCCACAGCCAGCATCGGAGCACCTCTCGGTCGGGAGTTGATGCTCGGATCTGCCTTTCAGTATATAGCTTTGCCCGAGTTTCAGTTTGACTAAGAGGGGATCTCTCCACATTCCACTGGTAAGTGCGGCTTGCTTTTCTGCGTCTTTGTTGGCATGCTTTTGTCATTCAGGTGTCATCCGATAGTGTCTGTGCATCCCGGCCGACGCAGCGTTCGCGTTCTCCTGCACCGCAGACGGCACAGGCATCGAGCTCGAGCGACTGGGACTGGTGGTCTTCTGACGCGATGCAGCCTTCGAGCGTAGGCGACTGGTGGTCTTCGCAGAGCCCTAGGGCTCCAAGTCTGCAAGTAGTACCTACTTTGTCAAAACCCTAAACCGCTAATTTATATAGGGGCCTAAGTAATTAGCTACATCATTTTGGGGGTTCCTTATTATAATCATAGTATAATGGGCCCCAAAACCCTATTCTAATTATGAAGACGAGGGACCCATTATACTATAGTTGTAATGAGCCCCAGAAAATAATGTCGTTTGGAGCCCCAGGGCAGTGATCAGACGCATGACAACTGGTCAACTTCTGAGAGCTCTGGGGGCTGGCAATCTCGAGAATGGTCTGGGGATGGCAACATTGAGGTTGTTGCCATTGAGAGAGTTGCATACCTCCAGAAACTCAGAGGTAATCAGCAGATGTTATAGGTGCTTTACTCAGCCACCAAAAAACCTGTGGCGCTAGATCGCTTAGGTTTGTCTTCTGTATTCCTTGCTTCTGCAAGCACAATAGCAAGCAAGGAAGACTTGCAGCTCGACGTTCAAGGATGGCCGAACGCTTCAACAGACCACAGAAGAGCTCAGAAGTGGACAGCTAGATCCTTTCAGCCACGAGAACTTCGTCTTGAGTGCCTTGAAGTGCAATGTGAGGCACGAGGGGAGGTGGCAAGATCTGTATTGGAGCAAAGACCACCGACGGCTAGTCTGCATGAGGCGAGCTGGCTGCACACATGTGCGACTGCAAATTGACAGAATAGAATCCAGAAAAATTCAGCCGATCATGCGCAAGATCATCGCCTCAGTTGGCCACAACACTGACATCGAAGTGTTGGACACTGCCAGAAGATGAGGAAGTCACATGCTTGTGCACTGCAAAGGCGGAGATGCCCACGCATGTGTGCATGACAAAAGGAGACATGCTTTCAAAGGCCCAGGTTCTTTCAGGGTCTTCCGTATTCGTATTGCAGGGCTCTTACCGTATGTTCAGCAGATGGCTTCTCCTTGTTGCCCCTGTGCCACGAGTCAGTGTTCAGGTTCATCCAAACGAATCCAAAATAGCTTCCAAAATCCCTCACCCCCCCAAACAAAAAAACACAAACAAAGCCAACCCTCGCAATGAAACGGGACTGACATCCATCAATGTGTGCACTGCCAGCTTGTTGCAACCGTCAATATCTTCCTGTTGTGGTTCAGCTTCTGCTGTCGAAAGGCTCCTATTATTGGGATGACAATGGTTGTCTCTGGTACTTAAAGGAGTAGCAGAGACTTGCCTCACATTTCCGGACGACCCTAAACCCAAAACTCTGAACCCAGCTTGAAATTCAATTCAAACATCTTAGCCTTCATCCCAGCTGACAGCTCCAAACCTTCAACCCTGAATCCTAAACCCTAAACCCTGAATCACTCCAGCCATGCAGGTGAAGCGGACCAGGGTTTCACGAAAGCCAAGGCCAGAAACTCCGATCAAGATCCAAACCCATCTGCCCAGGGTTTAGAGTTTGGGGTTTAGGGGTGGGCGTTTATGTGGCGAGAAAGACCAACGCAGTTCTACTTGAAGCGCCAGCAGCGGTAGCAGTCGTCGCAACTGAACTTGTTCCTGCCCAATCTTCCCGAACCTTAAGCTTGGCCCTAAACTCAAATAACCGTGCAGGTTTTGGTGCTGTGCCCTTTCCGGTCCACGTGCTATGACTTCGCCCCTCGTGCTGCATTTGAATGGCTTCGAGTCCCATCAACTGTTGATGACAAAAATCCTGCAGTACCTGAAGGAGCCGAAACTACGGGAACTATGGTGTATTCCTTATTATGGGTAATGCAGGATTTATATCACCAACCGCAAAAAAGCATACATACCCCGTAAACCCTACTCTTCGGGTGGCTTAGGGTTGAGGCTTTGGCGCAGAGGTCTTTTCGTGCTATATCGGGACCCTTGGGTTGAACCATCTTGAGTTCGGAGGTTTGGGGTAGCGGGTTCAAGGCTTCGGAGTTCAGGGGTTTAGGGTCAAGGGGCTTCGGAGGCTTTAAGAAGGGCAGTGAGCATTTTTTGGGAAGGGTGGTTTGCTGCTGATTGCATCAAGGGCTGCTACTCTTTTGGCCCTAAACTCAACAAACCCTAAAGCCAGACCGTAAAGCTTAATTAAAGGAGTTAGAGTGTCTTTCGGATCTGAAAGACTCTTCGGCCGGCGATGTGAAATTACAGAAGAGGTAGGCAATGCAGGCTTTCTACAAATCACGGGGCTCAACTTGTTTGGGGGAACTTGCACGGCAAGTATCTTAGTTGCTATCAGTACCGTTCTAGTAGCTGAGAGGCCTTTTGCGTCCCCTCTGCGCATGACTCCCGAGAGCCACATTGCACGTTTGGATAGTCACGCCAGAAACCTGAAGCTCTGACGGTGAAGAGTCCTCCTCCTCCATCTCATCTCAAACATGTCCGAAAAAGGTCAAGATGATGTTGGCCATGGTGCCAGGGAAGAAGCAGGCTCCGGACTCGTAAGAGCTTTGCAGCTTGTCTTCGCTGATGGTGAGGATCGAAGTTGTTAAGGCTTCACCTAACAGTATATAGGCCATAGGCTCTGAAGCCGAGAGCCCAAAAGCTTCGGGACGATGATTGACTTCCATGGTCTTGTACATTTTGCCACACTCTCGTGCAAGTACTGCTGTGCTTGGCCTTCTGATCCTCGTCCTCTTTCTGAGTATCATCAGCATCATCACCATCCTTCTCCTCCTCCTTCTCGTCCTCCTGATCCTTGTCATCATCGGCATCACCATCGCCATCACCATCATCACGGTCATCATCATCATCATCATCATCATCATCATCACCACCAAAGTTGTCGTCGCAGTGTCACTGCCGTCTCCGTTGTCGTCAGCGCCATCATGCCGTTAATATAGGGGCCTAAATAATTGCCTATGACTATGCTCTTTCGGGGATTCCTTATTAATCTTATTATAGCTATAGTATGATCTACCCCAAAACCGATCCTAATTATTAAGGCCCCTACACTATGAAAGTCCTTCTTATCGCCCCTTTCGCATCTTCTTCAGTAGTGGAAGCGGTCGTACTTCGGAGCGAAGATCCAGCGTTGCAGTAATGGAGGGGCCTCAACAATTACCTCTACTATTTACTTGTGGTGGCTCCTTGTTATAATTATAGTGTAATATACCCTATAAGGTCCCTATATTATAGGGGTCGGAATGATTACACACATGTATTCCTTAGGGGCTTTATAGTAACGCCGCAGTGTGCGCCAAGACCCTCGTCGAGTTGGAAGGTCCCCGAGATCTGTTAAAACCCCCATAACTCCTTCGTACCTGTAGTCTCCATTGTAGTTCCTTTTTTTGGTTTAACCAATTCTATGTTAAGGGTTCTATACGGTATCCCCAGAAAGGAACTACAATGGAGACTATAGGTAGAACCCGTCAGAGGAACTCTTTAAAGGAACCCTCTCTGAAATTTGGGTGGGGTCTTCGCATTCTCTTCAACTGCTGTGAGGTTGCAAATCTGCAGAGATTCGAAGAAGACTATGGCCCGGGCGACGACGAAAACTCCATGGCGCCCACATCGGATTGGGTGTTTATTGTTCAGGGTGCGGGGGAGGAGGGAGATGAGAGAATTGATGTAAAGTGTGCAAGAGGGGCCTGCGTCTACTGTCATTCAGGGCTGCAGGGCCTACAGTAGGGCCCGGATCAGCAAATCGGATTCAGAGGGACGGCTTGGCTTCAGGAATCGCAGTGATCCCAGCCTGTGTGGCCACTGGCCAAGATCGCTTCACTGGAGTAGTGGCTAGTGTTGATGCCCGTGGAACTGAGACTTTCGTGAACACGAGCGCGAGCCGTGATAATGATGATTCTGCAAAAGGTTTTCTGTTTACGTGATGATAGCCTTCCAAGCTTCTGGAGTCGGCTCCGTATCAGAATCAAAGCTGGCGAAGAAGACCTGCCATACTCAAGTTTCCTTTGCCATAGCTTTAATGGCTGGGCTTTCGGGAGCTCTGGGTTAGGCTTTCGAGATGCTGGGACACTGAGATCTTTAGGTTAGTTGCTGCTGACGAGGACTACGCCTACAGCCTCTTTAGTATGAACATCATCCAACTGCGTGTGTAAGGAGTACATAAGACTGATCCACAAGCTGAAGACCGATGCCCTTAACCACAGACCCCAACCTCGGTCCCAACAAGAGACGTGTCCCTAACCAAACATCGCTGCAAGTTGAAGCCACTCGGCAATCTGAGTGGTCTAGCGATGTCGCAAGGCAGACAAGGCCGTGGACTACCGGCACTTGTTCGCAGGTGGGATGCCCAGGTCTTTTTAGAGGAAAAGATAACTCCCCCTAAACTCTAAACCCTAACCCCTAAACACTAAGCCCAGACATCTCGGCTGAAGACCCAGGCTCCGGAACGGCCCCTGGAATCGACAGCTTTTCAGGGAACCATAAACAAGGTACGCAGCCTGAAGGCTGTCAGCTTTCGAGACAAGCTACCGAACGCCACGTGCAACTGCTTGTCCATGTCTGTGTGCCATGCAGGTAACAGTGATGATCGATTTCGTATTGGCATCACCTTCTGGAAGAAGGCGCAAATCCTCGCATTCCCCGGTGGTTTACCCTAACCCCCCAGGTACCTACTATATAGGGCCCTAGGGGCTCTAGTACCCTATATAGTAGGTACCTGGGGGTTAGGGTTAGGCCTTGTCTACTAGTTGCAATGTTGTTGGATTTATGAGTGTGACGGCAGAGGCGTGGCTCACGCATTCAGCGCGCAGCGCTTTTGGCCTGCAGCGGCTACAGTTTTCCGCTTGAAGCCGCCCTATAGCTCTGAATCGTAGCTGAAACGAAAAACCTCGAACTTTAAACCCTGAAAGTCTGAAAGCGCTAATGTAGGGGCCGAAATTCTTACCTACACTATTTTGGAGGTTCCTTATTATAGTTATAGTGCAATGTACCCCAAAACGCTATTCTAATTATTCAGGCCCCATTTGCATCTTCCAGGAGCTTCCCCTCAAAGGTCTGATTCTGATTCAAACCCAGGAGTTTCGGCCTCAAAGCGATTTGTGACTATGAGTGCTGCTGCTCATGCGTGTGAGCACGTGGTGATTGAATTGTTGTTGTCATCCGTATCTTTGCTGCTGTTGCACCCGCCTCCTCCAGCTGCTGCTGCTGCCGACCCTGCATTTTTGTTTTCTTCGTGGGCGCACTTGTTGTGGCGATGGTTGACTGTTATCAGGGCTATGTCACTGTCCTTTTTGGAATCTCTCTACTCCCTTGTCCTTCCAGGGCATACGCTTGTATGCGCCCTTCGACAAAGCGGACATTCTCGTTTGTCCGGGGCCAAGAGACTTAGGGTTCTGGGGACATTAATTCCTCTGGCCCCTACAGCCCCTACAGCAAACCGGATTGCTGGGGTGTGCCTAGCTTTGCCTCCAACAACCCATAGTAGTGTCGGCTTTGAAGTTTGAGGCCCATATAATTAGAGGTTTGAAGGGTGTAAGGCATATGATAAGAGAGAGAGAGAGATATGGGTAGTTGTCAAAATTATGGTCCCTTTTGGGGTACCCTAAATAATAGGTGCCGTATTATAATAAGGACCCAAAAAGGGACCATCATTTTGACAACCACCCATATATATATATATATATATGCGTGTATATATATATATATATATAATACATCTGTTAAATGCATATGTCTATGTATGTACACATGCAGGCACCGTGAACAGCTTCGGCTTAGGTTTGAGAACTCCAACTTCGGTCTCCATTGCTGAAGCCTCCGCTCGTCCAGGCTCGCCGCTGGGCCTGCGGCAAATCACGGGCGTGGAGGGCGACAGGAGGGTTTAAAGGGGTCAGGGCTTCGGGCTTTGGAATTCGGATCTGAATTCTGCTGCCGAAATGATATCGCAACAGCAGTCAATGCTGCTAGCAATCGGTCTCTGTTGCCGGAAAACGGCCACAAAGGAATAGTGCGGATGTTAGGAATATGAGCAATGCTTGCATAGACATTTAAATAATAGTGATGATGTCATTGAGTTGTCGTTCTACAGCCAGCCGGTGGCGTGATCTGGAGGTTTCGGACCAGATTTGCTTGCCAAGCGTAGTCGGGCCTGTTGGCTGTAACGCAAACATTTGAGCTGTGTCCCAGCAGGGGTATGTCATCCTCACGGGTTCCTCGACAGTTTCAGAGAACACCTAGCCCATCAGGGAACAAAGACACCTTCACGCCCAAACTTTGCACACCTTCTTCGGACTCTTGTCAAGGAGGGCATGGCATTCCGCTTTCAAGTGACACGCTGTTTTTTTCGGGAGGTGGTCGGAATAATAGGGCTCCTTATCATACTTGGAGTATAAGATACCGAACATTAAGGCACCTAAAACCCTACATATCCCTTTTTGCACACGGGACTTTTTAGGGCCACTATAGTATTCTTGGCGATGTCTTCTCGAGAGGAAGCGTGAATTCGACTTCCTCTCATCGATCGAAGTCTGCGCGTCTTGGACACAATCATCGGTTTCATTCCGTTCCAGTGGATTTCGGGTATGGGGGGTTAGGGGTTCAGGGTTTAGGGCTCAGGATTCCCGAACAAAAGGCACGGTCTGTGTGAACCATCCTGACAGCTCATGGGCTTAATTCCCTGAAACCATTGCCACAGCCCTCAACAGCCCTAAACCCTTGTCCGTTCCAGGTGGTCGATCGCGCCGACGTGCTGCGTATGCAGAACTGGGAGCATGTCCAGGAGGCCGATGCATTAAAAACCGAAGCAGTTTTAGCTGCTCACACGATTTCAGCTGTGCCGTGTCCCAGGTGCGGCATCTGAACCTAAGAGCGACTTCTATTGCTATCGCAAAGTTGGGCTGTATCTGGAGGTCCAACTCAACTGCAGATGGTCACGGGCACAACTGACAGACTCAATCCGACAAGCCCGACGAAGGTTTGTTGCTCAAACCACCCCAAACCTAAACCCCAGGTCATGCAAGTGGTCAACAGGAAGCCACAAGGCTGGTCTTGACGGCTTTTGGGGTTTGTGTTTCTGCTTTTGGAGGTGTTTGGGTTCGTCCTTGTGATGTTCTCGCTTCAAGGGCGCGTCAAGGTGCCTCTTCGGTATTCCGCTTCCAGCGTTATATATTCTCTTCTTGGCGTAAGTCCGAAAACTCGGATACAAGAGGCAAAAACATCGCGGCCCCTGAATTGAGCTTCACTTCCGAGTTTCTGATACATCGGCCTGAGTTCAAAGTACTGTAGGATAATCGTAATGTAGCAAACCCCAAAGCCGCGAGCTCTAAACCTAAACTTTTTTTGTGAGAGGCCTCGGCAACATAGACATCGCACGACTCCGCAGCGCCTATGCAGAGGGCCGTGCTCGGGAGTTTCGCCAGACGGCCGGCTTTGCGGGTTTGACTGTGCCTCGGGGTCCTTTTGGGGTTCAGGCGGTTTAGGGGTTTGGGGCTTCGAGTTTTGATGTTTGGGTTTTTTGGGTCAGCATGTGGGGCGATGCCAGGTAGTGACCTCTTACGGACAATGCCTGGATGCACGGCCCTTGGTGTCAGCAGATTAGTCGTACACTCCAGCTCCTGACTCAGGCGCCGACAAGTTATGTCAGCAGCATTTATCCCGCAATATGGACCCAGTTTACCACCTTGAACCCTAAACCACATATTCCCTGGAATCTAAGTCATTTTCGTTCGCCCCAAGCTCTGACAAGGCCGATGCACTTTTCAACCTGTCTTCCAATCCACCCGCTGGGCAAGGCTGGGGATCGAGATGATCGGACTGCCAAGCGCTTCAGAATTCAGGCTTCAGGAAGTTGCAAGGCTCTACAAAACCCTAAACCCTCAACCCCTAAACCCTAAACTCTAAGTTGAATCTGATGATTGGTTTTATCCAGACAGGCCCTGGGCCGGACTAAGCGTTTAAGCTATGTCCGAAACTGCAGCATGCAACTCAATTGGTTGAACAATGAAGACATCACCTACCTACAAAAGGTTTATATGGCCCAAGCTTACAGACTCCGCTACTTTACTAGCAACAGCTCCAGTTTACCATGTCTTATCTTCTGGCGCCAAAGCCTAATCTTTGTCGAGCACAGACCTTGATGCCTCCGTGTTGGATCATAAACCGCAAGGCTCCATGTACACGTACCCATAGAGCATACACTTAGGCCTTAATGGGGCTCCTCTATAGGTACTCTAAGGTCTTAGTTTTTCCTTCAAAGGGCTCATGGAGCCTTTCGGAAAGGAACCTGCCTAACACGTCTCGGGTGAAGAGTTGGGGCTGGGGCAAAGCTCGCCAGGTCCTGCGCTGGCGGGCAAAGGGCGCAGCCTGGCGTCGAGGCGCCACAGAATGATTTTCCTCACGTTTCCGCGATTAACTACGTGTTTGTAGGGTCCCCATAAGTTCTATAGCAGGGTTCATAGTAATTAAGAACCTACAATACTCGGGTGTGGTAGTTTAAGGTTGCGATCTACGATTTTCCGACTTGGGTTTTCGGGGGGGGGGGGGTTCTAGTATGGTCCGTCCGATGCTTCTGATGCGAAATGTGGGTTCTGTTGTGTCCTTGGGTCAGAAATTCATAGATGACAGCACGGATTTCTCCAGTACGGCAAAGCCACGGCAGGAATGAACTTTTGAATTCAGACTGGGCGTTCCGGTTTGAGTCTTCGAGGTCAGCTGTTCTTACACGATTCACGGCGCAAGGCTTGGGCTTGCAGCCAGCGTACAGGTACTTCGAACTTTCTACATCCTGCGCCTGAGACTTCGGCCCAAGATGGCAAGCCGGGAGCACCAAACATACTAAACTAGACCCTAAACCCTGGAACCCGAGCCCTAGAAGGCTCGAAGTCCTCAAGCATGATGCGCCACTAACCCCAAGAAGGAAAAAGGCTCGATCCACAGATGTTCCTACCCAAACCCTGCACCCCGACCCCTGACCGCTTTAATGCAAATGCTAGACCCTAAGCGTGAATCCTATTTAGGGCCCTAAACCCTAACCCCCGAAACTCCTAAACCCCTAAACCCCTAAACGTTTAGAAAGCTTCTGATGCTGAACCTGAGAGAAGGAAACCTAAATCCAAGCAGCTAAAGAAAGGCTTCGGGCTCCGCAGCTGGGGCGTTCCAAGCGCGGAGGCCGGGTGAATGGAGGGGGTTTAGGGTTTTGAGGTTTTTAAGGTTTAGGGTTTTTGAGGTTTAGG